GATACCTCCATTTTGAGCTATTGGGGGACTTTGATGGATTCAGGATCTCAACAGTTTAACTCTTTTGCAATGTTTGTGGTCAAGTAAATACTGCTGGCACTAGCCCCGCCAAGTCTGTCACATACTGTACAAACATGTACACACATGTACTGGGTGGACTTGCATGGAGGGTCACGTGCTGGAGGAAAGATACAAATAATGCGCGAAAACGTGACGAACGCAACACCGTTTACGCGCAAAGAACACCATGTGCATCGCTAATAATTATGTGTGCGCATCGCGTAAATACTCGGTGCACATTTCTTGCTTCACGCGTGTTGAGCTAGGTCACGTGCTGGAGGAAAGATACATTTAGCGCCATTACTTTACGTTAATTTGTTGCGCGTCTATGAGAGACAACCAAAATGGCGGAGATTTATCGCACAGTGACTGGGCGCGTGTGGACGCGCTGCCGATCTAGTCTTTTCATTCTATATCTATGGTTTACGGGCTGAAACATGCGCTAATGTCTTTCACACAAATTTTGTGTGCGAGACGTATTCACTTCGGTACTGATCCATGCTGGGGTCGCCATGCATTGGTGTATTTTGATGGATCCTATGCAACAACACACATCACAATTTTCATGCGAGCATGGTATCCTGAATCCGTCAAAATCCACCAGAAATTTAGGTGATGGATTTTGAAGACTCTATGGAAAAACATGCTGTATTTTTTTTTATGCCACCATGGTATCCTGAATCCGCCAGAATCCATCAAGACTTTTGCTGGTGGATTCTGGCGGATTCAGGATACCTCCAGAATCTACACTGGGGGATTCTGATGGATTCAGTATACCAGCATTTTTTGCATGACAAAATTGGTGGATTTTGGCAGATTCAGGATACTTTCTAGTAAAAGAGCCCCAGGAGTTAGGGTTAAAAGTATAAGTTCAGGTCTTCATGAATATGGTTTACTAAAACAAAATAACGATATATTGACGCACAATTCTCCCGAGTGTAACAAAAGGGGGATCCAAGAACCTGATTTGGGAAATTTTTATTTGCTGGGCCAACATGGTCAGAAATATTAGCATTATCTAAAACAGATACATGCAAATCTTTAGCACTTATCAGGGAGACATATACAACCAATCAGATGTATTCCATAATTGTATACAATTTAAGTGATCATCTCATTAGCCCCACAAGTGTACAGAATATTGTTGCAGCAAATCTACTACAATGGTAACAAAATATGATGCTATAAAAGTGGAAGTGTGCCCAACACACAAATCTATAGGGTGTTTCCCTCCTCCATGGTAACACGATTAAAATGGTAACAGCAAAATTTCAAACAGATTTATCTCGAAAATGCAAAAATCTATGGGCCTTGAAGAGCCTTGACTCAAAATTGTAAGGCATTGATCCCTCAAGGCCAAGGCTTTTTGCCCTCAAGCCTCGAGGCCAAGGCCAAGGCCCTAAAATCCAGCCTTAAGGCAGCCTTAAGGCCAAGGCCCAGCATCAAGGCACTACATCACTGGTTCCCGGTTGTCCCGTGGACTTGAAGGCCTTGAACCCTCCAGAGACTGGGCAGCTTTCTGTCTCAGTTGCTTCAAGCAGGCGCCGTCTGTGCTTCCGCTCGCCGTGTTGCTTGGCCGGGGTAGGGTTCTTCTTGATCGGGAGCTTCAATACGGGCCCATCAGGCTATGCCAGATAAGGCCTTGCTCTGGCGCACTGACCCTGAGCCATCTGAAATTTATAATTTCAAAACCTAAAACGTCTACGTTCTGCAATAATAGTCACTTCAACTACACAGCATATGCCATATTTGGCCAACCAAATCATAGAAATAACCGTTATCTGCGCAGACATAATCTATGACGTCATCCTTTACAAAATTCCACTTAAACTTCAAATAAAGTTATCAATTCTCAAACCATGATCCAATGACACAATCTATAATTAAATCGACCAATAAGTGATCCAAAATTCTAATGAAAACTGAGAAAGTCATATGACGTCATAAAAATTACTACAATGTACGCACATCGGTGCTAACTGAAACTATGTCTCATTAGATCATAAATCAAACGTCAATTTTCTAAACAAAATATAAACAAAATTCGCTAAAATCAAGAATCTGGTATCTATGTTAACCAATAAAACTACTCACGGTAGATCGAGCAGATCTGCCACCTCAAAAGTGGAAATTTCTGGATCCAAACTCAACGGTTTTGGAGTGACCGTGACTTGCTATATTGCGATCGCAAAGTCCTCTGGCATTCGCGCGATATCTGCAGCATTTTACAGCCAGTGGGTGAAAAGCGCTATTTGCATAAGAATCACTCGCTTTCACTTTTTGCACTCACACTGACACACTGGATCATACCGTGGCTCAATGAACAATAGTAGGAAGAACAAATACAACATATACAGGTGTTTACATTGATAAATCTTTATTTACAAACAAAATAGACTTCGCCAGTCTCGCTTAGGAAACATTTAACACAGTACGGAGAAGTTAAACATAAGAAATAAGAATAAATGTATAGGAAATTCGCATCAGTTCTGACATGGGCGATCATGTAGTTTAGGGCCCCTCTTTAGTTTCGATCAAATTTGAGTCAAAGGTGTTTTTATCATTCAAAAAATTACCTTTTCAACCTAAAGCAGACTTCTCTCAGCTTATATGGCACCTGTTTTGTAATTTCGAACACTTTTTGGGGATAGAAATTACGTTTTTTGTAAGCGGTTTTATGGTTGGTGACCCGCGATCGCCATCTCTATTTTCGTGTTGCGTTTTTTCGTTGTCGTTTTCCCTCCAAATTCCCCTCAAAAATTCGAAATCCTTCCCTCTAACTAAAACCTACCTGCATGTTCTTAATGTGGATTAAAAGTTGATTTTGTTCTCTTAGGGAATCGGGCCCATAATCAATACACGATCGCCATTTCCCCTTTTGACAATCGAAACCATGTGCACGCCTGTTTTTTGCAATGCCCCGAGCTTGTTTGCCTCATACACAAACATCAATGCGTTCTGTACCGCGCATGCAAGCACTGAGAAGAAGAAAGTCGGTTGACAGTGCGTAAGATCTGCCGACATATATTTTTGCGGCGGGGGTGTCGCTACTTGAAGTATCGGCACATACAGGAACTGGAGATTCAGTTGTCAGTGTACGTGTGTGTACATCATACATACAGTGGGGAATCGCCGGCGTTTGGCCGGCCGGCCACTACCGTACTGCGCGTGTGTGATTGATTCAGCGAGATATTAAGACAACTGATCGGGCTGGCATGGCATCGAAATACATTGTCAATGTGTGGAAAAACAACTGGAATCAAGGATTGTAGTGGTTTTAATAGGCTGATAGATGTTTTTGCAAAAAGGGCACGACGACCAAGGTAATTATGGGGCAAGGCAAAACTGGCCGTGAAGACAGGGATTTTTTGTGGGGCACCTCGGCCAGTAAGAAGGCAACGACGACACTGGCCGTTGTGGCCGTCGTTCAATTCAAGCCCTGAAACATAAAACAGCCTTTTGATGTACCTACGTCGACCGAGAGATTTATGAATGAACCACCTTTGCTCTGCATTGTTGTCCCCCAAAGCTTTTGACACACGCAGGGGTGGTCCACGTTTATTAGTTGATTCAAAGTGAGGCTTGACTTTGAGTGCTTTTCTGCGATCAGCCATAATGTGATTGGCATGTTGACGGGTTTCCCTGTCTACTTGAAGGGGTCATCAACTTGTTTGGCTTTGCTGGTTGTCGATAGCTGATCCAGAATGTTGGTTACCACGAATTGAAAAATCAGAAAGAATTTTTGATTTGATATAGCCACTTCTGAATGCATGAGTGGTCATGACATGAATTCTTAATGTCTTATTTATCTTATAATGTGTTTATTTGGCTTCAATTATCTTTCATTTTGCGCGAAGAGTGAGTTTTATACTAGATGGATTTTCTGGTGTGTTCACGTGCAATCACACACGTGGTTATTCCCGTTCCAGGGCCACAAATGCCACTATTAATACGTAGGGATGATGTCTTCCTGCAAAGCATATAATTTAACACAAAATAAATGATATCTCCTAAGCTGCTGATCCAATATTGATAATTCAAAAAAGAATTTGTTAAGAGCTTTTATTTGATGCTATTTTTTTCACATTTCATGTTGAAAGGAATTTTGACCTGAACACCCTATTCTAAGCTCATGAAATGGGAGGTTCGCCATTACATCCAGAATGAGGTCCCTGACTTAGCCCCATAAATGTGGCCAATTTATTTGGACTACCTCCGTAAAGATGGCCACACCAGCACCATCTTAAGTGACGAGTAGGACGTTGTTGTTGCATTTGTCCCATTCAGACTTTGCTGCTAGTTTATTTTACATTTTGTAAGAAAATTCACCAGTGAATAGTAGCAAGGAAAACACAGGCATTTTCTCAGATGTCTTCTTTTCATGTAATTTTGAGGCTCATTATTGTACACGTTTGAGTGTAACTAAATTCAAACATGGCGATGCTAACACGCAATGCATGCTGGTACAGGTAGTGTGACCTGCAGGTCAACATGTAAGCTGTCAGTCATGCGGCGCATGGCTGGCTGGGCAGCTGTTGCTTGACTTAAGTAATCCTCTTTGTATAGTATGCATGAGGGGCATGCTTTAGCAAGGAATAAGCACTTTCATGGGTAATATGCGCCATCTTATTCACGGGCAAAAAGAGCACGTGTTGCTCGATGTGAGCGCATATTGGAATGAGCGCATGAAGACTCCGAAGTGCAAAAGTGCATACTCAGCAATGCGCATTCTCTTCGCCCCGTGAACAAGATGGCGCATATTATCGTGCAAAGCACTAACTGCCAAGGTCATAAAAAACATTTTCATGTGCTTGAACGTGAAAGTATTTGGTTTGTCAATAAGAAGCTTTAAGTTTTGTAGACAATGTTAATTTTCAGATCTATTTTTCAAGTTATTTTCACCAATCTTTCTGAAAGTCAATAACCTATTTTTTACACAGGACACCAGGTACAATGCTGAAGCAGCTAAAGCAGAGTTAGATGGAACGATGAGAAAGAACAGAATGCTTCGAGTTCGTTTTGCTACACATGGTGCAGCCTTGAAAGTAAAGAATATCCCATCATGTGTCTCCAATGAGCTCCTTGAACAAGCGTTTTCTCAGTTTGGTGTTGTGGAGAGAGCAGTGGTCATTGTGGATGACCGTGGCCGACCAACATCAGAAGGAATTGTTGAGTTCGCACGGAAACCAGGGGCACAAAATGCCCTGACCAGGATCAAGGAGGGAGTCTTTCTACTCACGACGTAAGTCCTTTAACCCTAACATACCTGAATCCATCAAAACCCACCCCCCTGTTTCGGGGGATTTCGGCGGATTCAGGATACCTCCATATTGCACAGACTGGGGGATTTTGATGGATTTAGGATTGTAAGCCTAGCGGAATTGCAGGATTTGGATGGATTCAAGATCTCAACAGAATAACTCTTTGGCTATTTTTGTGGTCAGGTAAATACTGCTTGTAGCCCTGCCAGGTCTGTCACATGCTGTACAAAAATGTATGTACTGGGCGGTTGAGAGCTTGTGACTGCGGCTTATTAGGCCTCAGCATATAAACAATGGATTATGTACATAACCCATCCAGACAAAGCAATGCTAAGGTCGGACAATGGCTCATTGAAATAGCCCTTCGGGTTCCAGGCAATGCAAACGTCATAGTATACATAATTACCCACAGCCAAGTTGAAAGGAAAAACAACCCACATCATCACCAGCAGTTGAACCATGCATTGGTGTATTTTGATGGATCCTATGCAACAACACACATCACAATTTTTATGCGAGCATGGTATCCTGAATCCGTCAAACCAGGAATTTGCAAAATTCCATCTTATAATAGTTTATGCGGTACCCGCTGCTATGTACATCAGATTCGAACCAGCTAACTGATTCCGTTAGCTCGGTGGTCGAGTGGTAAGACATCTGCACTAGAAAGCAGGAGGTTGTGTGTTCGAGTCCCACCCGAGTGATTTTTTCCAACTTTCATTTGAGTCCCGCAGCTGCTACAAAATATTTTTTTCACAGCACTGGTTTAAAGATGAATCTGTCTTTACTTTTATACCAAGTTTTCTATACAATTACACGTGAACTGAACCTGGAAAGTGTGATATACACATGTACATGTACAGGAACGAGATATATCTATCTTTCTTTGCAAAAAGTATTAGCTCTGTTATCGCAAAATTGAAAAAATTCCAATACTTCCAATTGACTATAATAAGGCCCCCAAAAATGTTCTGCTTACGATTCCATGCCTTTCAAAAATAGGGTAGGTCAAAATTTTGTGCTGTTTGAATGGTGTATTGCTATTATGCAAATTTCAGCTTGAACTTTTTCCATTTGCCCTACAAAAGCTATGAAAAAAATTGCCACAAAAAGTGATAGAAACCCTGGTGTTGGAGTGTTGCAGGTTGGGTATCGTTAGGGTTAATCATTCAGAACTCTTTTAAATTTTTTATTTCAGTTCTCCAACACCTATCTCAGTTGAGCCTCTAGAGCAACGTGATGAGGAAGATGGACTTCCAGAAAAAAATATTCCCAAGAATCAGTCCTACCATCATGATAGAGAGAACCCACCACGATTTGCTGCCCCTGGATCATTTGAGTATCAGTGGGGAAACAGGTAACTACTCAGACATCTGTTAGACTGCTCAAGTAAAGTGTTTTGTTAGGGGATTTTCTATAAAGCCACTTTGAGTGGCTTGTGTCCTTGTACATTCTGGAGGATTCCAAAAGTTTCCTTCGAAAATCTTAGAGAGTTAGGGTCATTTCTGGGAGCCAAATTAATCCCCTTGCTTAGCCGTCTCAAATAGGTCAAGATTAGGTTGTCCCATTCAGTATAGACCAATCCGGGCATGTTATCAATTCTATCAGGAAGGCCCCCTTCATTGGCGAAAGCATTGTGCTACCTGTTGTTCAGATCATCTATCAAAGTTGCTTTGTGCTAGCATATGACTGAGTGAGCAATTGCTTTGTACTATTAACAGCTGGCACATTAGATTCTCCATTGAAGGGGGCTTTGTGAGTGTACAGTATTTACTGTAGGCAGAGTTAATATATGATATAGTCATCATATTGTTCTTTCAATACACTGTTGACGTACTATAATGAAATTTTATGAAATCCTTCATAAACCCATAGTAACTACGATTGATCATGCCCTGCGATGCATGGTTAGTTCTACGATTAATCATAACTTACAATGACTTCAGGGGTTCTGAGTTTTAATGTTAGCCACAACAGTACAGCTGTTAGTTATCTCGCGAGCGCGATAAAGAATGTATCTTCAAGCAAACTTGGCACACTAAAAAGATTGAACACGCACACTGTACATAAACTTTTCAGTGGTTGTCCTATTACACATGTATGCGTGTTGTACGGAATGGCGCTTGCATCTTAGAATAGCGCTATATGTGAAGTGCGCTATGACCGTGGCCCTGCTACATGGTTATATGTAGCAGGGCTTGTTGCCATGGATCGACCAATCAGGATCGAGGATTCTAGTTTACTTGAAGATAATATTAGTTATCCCACGATGAGCGCGAGTGGAACATGGAATAATGTAGTGCGTCTGCAGTCCAGATGCCACAAGGCCGAAGGCCGAGTGGTATGTGGGTTGCAGACATACTACATTTTCCGTGTTCCACAAGCGCCAGTGGGATAACAAGTTTATCTTCAAGCAAACTTGACTTGCTGTGAGGTTGAAATGAACATGCTTTTATATAGTAACCTTTAAGCGGTTATCCACGCCTGCAGCTGGAATGATGCATCTTGAAATAGCGCGATACACGGAATGCGATATGGACCAAGATGCATAGGATAATGTAGCACTGTGTGTTGTCGTGGTTTGACCAATCAGGATCGAGGATTCAAGTTTACTTGAAGATTTAATATACAATTACTGCATGGCGTGCTTTTTGGAAAGGGAAAAGCAATTTTGTCTGTCTTGTTGACCCACATGTAAAAAGTGAGGGTTATTTAGTCAGCTGTTTTGGTGAGTCATTTAATCTTATATGAACGGGGTCCTAAAGATAATGATTACCGGTTTTTTTTGTGCTGCATACTCTAAAGACCTACATGTAATGGCACATGAATGGGGCAAAAGGGATAATCAAATGTTTGTGTCATGCTTTGAAGCCTGTGTTCATCAACGACTCTGTACATTTAGTCTCGTGAATAAAATAATTTGTTGATGGTATACCTGTAATGCTGAGGAGAATTGTTTTGGCCTTTTAGTTGTTTATTTGAATCTATTTCAATCTAGGTGGAAGGCATTGGAAGAGACAGAAAAAATTCAGCGAGAAAACCTAGAACGACAGTTACAAGATAACAGAGAGAAACTTGACAGTGAGATGGAGATAGGAAGAGTTGAACATCAGACCATGATGATGCGACAAGGTTAGATTGTCTCATTAATGCTGATTTTTTTTGTATAATGACCAAAACAGTTGTATTCAACACAACATGATTGATGGGAAGTAGTAGGAAATGACTGGTCCTGAGGCATTGGGTAATTTGACTCTATTCTAAGACAAAGGGAGAGAGGCTATCATAATCAGCCAACACCAAGGAACCAGTAATTTCACACTTCTTTCCCAAAATAAACCATGTTGTATTTGTTTAATGATGCATGTTTAGTAGTATTATCAAAAATGTAGAAATTCTGTGGGAATTCCCTCTCACGGAATATGTAGAATCATTTGTCATGAGCTTTAGTATGGAATTCACAAAAAACCTCACCTGCGACAGTTACATGTTGTGAGTCTAGGAACTAATTGGGGTACACCTTCACAGTTACGGACCAGTTGGGTGATAGTGCGTAAGTTGTTACATTCGCTCATAACTGTATAAGTTCTAATGAAATCAGATACCTCTTACCACCTTAACTAATCCATATCACTGCCGGTAATCCACATCACTGTAGGTAATCCATATCACTGCAGGTAATCCAAATTGTAAAAACAATCTACATTAGATTGATACGGCACGTTCACATTTTGTTAACAATTAATAAATACCTTGGAGAGTTGATGGCCTCTGATTGGTCGAGACTAGATCACGTGGGGGTGTATTAACAGTGATAAAGACCGGCTTCAAAGAACAAGCGAAACTAGACTTATGTTTGTGGACAAACACTGGGCTGTTTCGGCAACTTTTTTTGTGACATGTGACATGTAAAGTTTCAAGTATAAGTTCCATCTAGGAAGGATGTGTAGATCTGTTTATAATATAAAAAAATGTGATTAAATTTTCATAGGGCTTTGAATTATGACGTCACATGTCTCGTAATGACGTCATCATGACGTCCGGTCAATTTCATCTATAACACATCCCAGTCTAGATACATACTTACTTTCAACCCAATCAGACCTGTTCTTCAAATTACAATGTACTTCTGGTTTCAACCGGAAGGAAGGTCACGTGATTTTGCTCGTAATATCAAAAATGTAGATTCTGGATAAATCAGTATTCTATCAACTCCCAAAAAAATGCAAAATCAGATCTCTCAAAGTTGATTTTATATTATTATCAAAGATTAAATCTAGAAATCTTTGGTTGTTTGTAATCTTGATACTTGATGACGTCATCGTGATGTCATTAAATGAAAGCTTGAAAGCTATGTTAACTGTGCGATTTGAAGCAAACATCTGAATTAAATCTCGCGAGGATGATTTTTCAGCAATTTTTGTATTTATTTCGCTACGGCAGCAGAAGTTCATACCCTGGATGTCGTGTCATAATAAGACGTCGTCCAGCGCAGCCTTGGCCCGCTAGGGTACCACGCGTAAGCTAGAATATGGCCACTGAACATGAACACAAACAAGTCTGGACATATCGCCGAAAGAAAAATCACAAAAATGGAGAATTTTAACTTTATTTTGTTAAAAAGGTATAATGGGAATAACAGTGTGAGGATCCGGTCTTCACTGCGTGATAATGACCAGGTTTGGGGGTGACCGCTGTAATATCCCTTATTAATGTCTTGAAGTACATGTTTTAACATACAAAAACTGAACTGATGATGCATGTATGGCACAGGCCTGTTCTTCATCATCACCTTGCTCTGGTCTATGTTCGGGTTGGCCGCTGCGGCCCCTTAACTCCCATCCGAATGTTTCGTGGATTTTTCATTTTCCTCAAAGCTCACCTCTGGTGTACACACACATTCAAAGCCCAGAGTTCACAACTAATCTGTATAAGAGAAGGGTTGCTTTGGCAAACTTTAGTGGGGAATCATGTTCTTCAATGTGTGATGCACGAAGGCCACTAAAGGTAGTATTTTATATTCTTTTTCTCTCAGAACTGTTGCGCCGTCAGGAGGAATTGAATCGTCATGAGGAAACCCAAAGAGAGATGCAGCTAAGGTCAGTCTCGAAGGGAAAATTACACCCGATGAAGATTATCTTTTAAGATAATGAACAGAATGGTATTAAGCAGTCAGGTTGGCATAGTGGTACTTTCCTAGCCGTCTACCGCTGATTCCTGTGTGATTTGTTATTTTTCCTGGCTTTTTACTTCATATACAGTTTTCGTCACCTACGTAGTTACTTTTAATGAATGGTTTTGGCCATTTTGCAGTAATTAAAAAAAAAAGGCGTTTCTTGTTCATGTGATATGTCAAATTGCAGCATAAGAATGCATAACTGACTTGTATAGAAAAAATGTGTTAGTTATCATCAATTATTTGTTCAATATCTATCTCTTAGACGTCAAGAGCAGATGCATCAAAGAGATGAGCAACGCCGTAGAGAAGAAGCCTTGATGAAGCAACAACAGCAGGAAGAAATAATGCGCCGTCAGCAGCAAGGTAGTGGCATGTCTCTGTCCCAGCAGGAAATGCGACGTCGCCAACAGACAGAAGATGCTGTACGTCATGCCAATGTAAGTCGGAGAACAGTGTTTTATACTTTACAGTTAGGTTTGTATTTCATGACTGAGTAGCTGGATCTTTGCCAATTATCAATGAAGGATTCATGGTAAAGTAGCAGAATTGAACACCCCATTTCAAAAGTGACATTTGTTGTAATGTGATTTGAAAGTGTTTGTGTTTGGTTATACCTCTTGTGATTGTTCAAACTTAACGCAATGGCCACAATGTGTATTTTATTTGTGACAGGTAAACAGGTGGAATATTTCTGATTGTAAAGTTATGCATTCATGCACAAGTTAATAGCACTGTAGGAACCTATGAACCACATTGGGGAAAATATTTTTCTTTTCAAGCTATCGTTGGCCTTAATTGAGTACAATCATGCATGTGGCTAGGTAACTTTCATCAATTTTTTCAATAAAATGCAGCTTCAAGTTGGTAATGGTAGCCGACAGCAGCAGCAGCTACAGTTGAACCCAAGAGAGCAGCAAGGCGTTGATAGCAAGACACAGCTTCAGCAGGCAGGTGTACTTGTCATGCACCCTGTTGCTGTCTGAATGCAGTCACCATTGTTGCCACATTCATCCTTTCTGATGCATAGTGTTTGTTCATTGTCACATTGTCATCCATGTTCAGCCCTATTTTGATTTTGATTTTTTTGCTTCCTTTGTTTGCTTTTATTTTTTAGAAAAGTGCTTTGGCAAATTTTGTATGTGGCAACAATGGTAAATTTATCAGCGTTGAACTCCTTAACTTTGATTTTTTATGATTACAGTTTTGAGAAATTGGTGTTGAATGCAGATAAAAAGACTAACCTGTTGCATTTTCCCATTTAGTCTGTGTCAATTCTCCAAGTGGTCCGCAATTTGGCAAAAAAATCCTTAGAGATTAAAATAAAATTTCCCACCAATTTAGACAAGTGTGATGTAATAGTGCCAGTGGCTTATTGGGAATATTGTAAACATTTTTCGGATTTGAAGCAGAATGATGCAAGCACTTTGAAGTTTATCCTCTGGCTTTTTAATCTGTTAAGTTGTATGTTTTTTGTTTTATGAAAGTGCCTCTGCAAAGAAATTCTACTTATGAGCTAACATCTGCATGCATGCCAGTATATGTTCGAGCACGGTCCCTATTGCGTGCTATGCTAACTGCAAGCATTTTTTTCATATGCAGATACATGTAGATGCCCCTTTGTTCCACCCAAAGTGCTTGTCTTATCAGTTTCTGGATTGATTTCTCTACACTCATTTCTAATTCAATTCTTATTCTGTTTGTGTGTCAATCACTTTGTCAGTCCGATTTCACAAAACTCTTAAGATGCATTTTACCGAAAAATGTAAGAATGATAAGTCGTCGTAACTCGCAACTCGTCCTAGGTTGATTTCACCAAACTTAACACGTCCTTACTCCTTTTAACTTCAGATCGGTCACATGGTTGTCTATCTCATGAATGCGTGTGTGTTAATATGTTTATAGACTGGACGTCATGGCTGTTAAAGACTAGTGTCGGGTTAGAGTTTCGAGAAGAAAACCGCTGTAAAAACAGATTTGAAAAGATTTCTAATACGTTGGTATTAATAAAAAATAGCTTATTTACTAAAATTAATAATACGTCAACACCTAGTTGACTTTTTAAAATAGAGTAATGAAATGGAGAGCGAGAATGACTCTATTGTATCTTGTGTAGAACTACCTTACTTGTGAAATTGATTGAGTAGAGTAACTTTTCTGGTGAAGGTTCATGTTCTTTGCACGTGTGCGGAAAGTTGTTTTTTGCACGTTTCTTTTCAACAACTGTTTTGTCAAGCGGTAAAAAGACACACGGAACAGCCATCAAATTGGTAGTTTCATGCATCTTGCTTAAGATGGGTATGTCTTAGCTTTATCTCAGAGCGGGGACTCGTTTTAAGTCCCAAGTGAGTTGCAAGATAAGACAGGTTTCGTGAAATCGGCCCCTGGAACATTTGAGTCTTGAGGATTTTGTTTGCAAAACTCTCTTTGGAGTGACCATCAAAAAAAAATGTTTATATTGATAAGGATGATGAAGGCATGTACGGTACTTAATAACATTTGGATTCAATCAGTCAGTTTGAGTTTGTCCTGAATTACAACTAACCCTTTTCTGTGGTCAGTGCTTCAGAGTCACTCAAATGAATTAGGTGATGGCTATCAGCCTGCAAACACGTAGAGTGTGTGAAAGTTAGCTGCCCAATAAACAATGTATTCAGGTTTGATTTTTCATAAACTATTACCAATACCTTTCTCATACTGACTAAATGTGTTCCAAGCCTAAATAATTTTAATTTCAATGATAAGAACTGCCTGCAAGCCAAAGATATAACGTGTAGGTCCACCAGTAGATAGCGTTATGAGTCTTCACTGTGCCATATGGTATGATTCTTTACAGAGACATAACGATTTTCACATGTCAGGGGTAAATTCAGGCACAAAAGCAGACATAGTTGCCAAAGCCAGGTCGGGTTGGTTCCTGTCAGTTTTTGCTTGAATTTTTGTCAAGTCAGATTGTGTCTGGTCGGGTTGGATTGGTTTCGTTTCAGAGTCGGTGTATATCTACATGTCTGATGTTTTGGCTCGGTTGGCCTGATCAACCTGACCCGATACACAACATAATTGCAGGGTGACACCATACAGCTCTGTTTTAGATTTATTTTAAGAAAACAGGAACTGCAGCTGTTATGATATGTGGTGTGCTGTTTGGTCTCTACACAGTCATGTTCTGCAGTGAATCATACAATATTGATGGAGTTGCGATGTCTTGAACTGTCTTCATAGTCTTTGACTGCTGCCTGGATTAGTCTTTCAAGGAACGGAATGTAAAAACCTGCCTTGTCCATCAAAGAGCACTTTGGTGCACTCAACGAGAAAACAGTTTGTTTTATGATGTGTTTTATGATGTGCGTACTGCAGTCATATTTGGAATTGAGGACAAGCATGTACTTTGGCTGAGAATGCAGATTTCTCAATTTGAAGGAGATTTGTTGCTAGATTGTTACTAGAATTTCTCTTCTCTCGTTGTTCTGTGCTGTTCTGGCGTTGAGGGTGAGCAGAGGCTACATTGTTGTTGGAGTTTGATGACAGAAACCATGCATTTCTTGTCAACATGCCCTATTTTACCTGTAAATTATTTGTATTTTGTTTGCCAATATGATTGTGCCACTGACCTTTAATGTTCTTGTGTATTGCCTAAAGATATAGTCCATCATTTGTAATTTGTGCATTTTGTTCGTTTGTAGCAACAAAAGTTCTCAAAATCTAAAGAAGGGTGATAAACAACTAAGCTGATGAAGTTTCAGCTCGGCTTCAGCTGTATTTTTCGAGAAAAACAACTCTCTAGGATCTCGATTTCACATCAAAAGTTGCTGAATCATGTTTTGAATTGGGCCTGAATTCAGCGTCCGAGACACGTTCTTACTGAGCCAAATGCAGCTACAGGGCTCGCGCAGGTGTGCGTCGTATAAAAAAAACCGAACAAACGGAAATTTCCAACGGTGCGTCTTAATACGCACCGTTGGAAAGGCCTTCTTTCGCTGATTTCTTCAAATGACAGCTTGCCAGAAAGGATAATTTCACAGAGAGTTTTGTCCCCTTGCTATCTTTTAACCAAGTATGTTTTTCAACAATAATTACGTCAGTTACTTTTTTGATAGCTGCAAATGATGGACTGTAGCTTTAAATGCTTTCATACCCAATATTTGGTTTCTAGTTGGCATCTTACATCAAATGGCATATGCTTCAGACTAGCAACTGCAGTTAACTAAAATTGTTTGAAAAGTCAGCGGTGGTAATAAGTAGGAAATATCATGATCGTTAATCATTGATTGATTCTGATTATTATTCCTGAAAAGTTCAAGATTGCTCAAAGTAGGATATAGAATTTCATCTTTGCAGAAGTTTTTATTAATAGTGAACATTGCTTATTTGCATATAAATGAATTGATCACTACCACTTTTCAAATGTAACTGTAGATGAAGACATTTGCTGTTGCAGACTTCTATTGTGTATACTTGCGCATAAGTATGTGATAAGTATGTGATATCACACATGTATTCCTCAAATGCCCTTTAGAGTCAGATTTGAGATTTGAGAAAATGCCAGCCCTTCCTCAGTGTTTCATTCTGCTTTTTTCTTGTCTTGCACTAGGGCATGCAGATGCGTGGTAATAGCAGTCATCAGGGACAGATGAATCAAGCTGGTATGGGTGGGCCAGGAAACCAAGGACTTCTAGGTAATCCCAACATTCAGGCCCTACAGTCTCTGCAAGGACTTGCTGGAGGCAATGCAAATGGAGGCCGGATTGGACAAGGACAAGGACAAGGACAACCTATTCCATCGGTAAGTACTTAGTTTTTACTGTACACATTTTCTGTGTGAACTGATGGTGTAAACCCTGATATTTTCTTCATGCTTTACACTGTGATTACGCTGGATCCCAATAACTCATCATGTGGTTTAAATCCTGGCATGGTGTTACACGTCAACATTTTTTTCCCTCAGTTGTGAAGCATTTAAATTCAAAAGTTAACTTTCAATCAAATGATTAACTTTCCTACTGATAGAACTGTCACAAACCGTCAGGAAATAACTACCCACTTCCTCTCTCATAGCATATGTAAAGGCTGGTCACCAACTGCCGAAACCCCTATGGATTAAACCACATAACTGTCAAAACCAGGTGAAGGGGTCGATAGATAGGGTGACCTTGAATACTGCTACAACTTGTGTAGCAGCCATCTTAGAGGGCAATGCCTTTGCTTTACTGGGATATGGAGGAGTGAACCTTTTGTGCATTCATTGTGCATTGACAGGCACTCATCAGCTCTGACCCACCATACATGTATCTATCAATGTCGGTCAAGGCATGGTACCCTCAGTTAACAAAACTACCACAGCTTGTCAGTTGTAACAATATGAGCCCAATTTACAGAACTCTTAAAAGCTATCACCTGAAATATTTTGACGTATAGGGTATCCCTCTCCATATTATGAGGGACAAGAACTGTTGATTTAAAACTGCAGTGTTTATGGCAGATTACATGCTCTTTTCTAAGACAAAATTTGTTTCACAGCACCAGTTCAGAATTGTAATGTACAGAACTGGAAATTGGGTAATCCATGAATGAAAGCCATTTGCACAACTATTTTCTTTGGGTCTGTGACATTGGAAAGGTGTAGGAATAATGCTGTAGATTGAAGGGGATTGGATGTGTCAATGTATGGATACTGTAAAAGTGTGTAGGTGACCTGCATGCAGAATACAACATCAGTACCGTACCACTTGTGGTTTTCTGCTGAAGTCCAGTTGTCTTCGTACTTCCATAATAAATCTGAGTGCCTTTGGCAGTATCAGTGTTCTTGATTTAAAATTTGGAACTCCTACACAAGACCTGCCCACACTTATTTGTCTACTACATGTTTTGTTCTCGCAAGGTTTTTTTTGGTGAGCGTAATGGGCAGGATTATGGTTTTAAAAAAAGGAGGGGGGGGGGGGCGGAACACAAGTGGCTGTGATCAGTAACATGATTTACATAGAAGTTGATGTGATATTGGACAAGTTTTTTTCATACGGACACAATAGCCACTTTTTAGCCCACGCAGGGAAATCAGCCATGAGTGTGACAGGCTGCTACGATCAATGGCCTGGCATGAACACTGTTATCATCTGCATACTCCTACATTTGTCATGCTGACCATCGTTTGAAATCGTCTACAAGATCAAAGGCTATTGTGAAGTCCACCAGACTTGTTGTTCCCTCGTCATCCCCTGATCAGGAAATGCCCTACATTAAGCAGTCAATGAGCAGTTGATGCACTCATTTCTCAATTCCTCTGGTCTGTGTTAACCTTCTTAGTCCTCTTTTTTTGTCAGCCATATAGCAAATTGTACCCCTGAAATGTAATTATGTATATATATTATATTAGCCAAGGATTCGCTTCTAGAATATTTTTCAGATCTTAAGGAATTATACTTGCAGTCAAAAAAGTACTGATGCGATGTGTTTACATGAAAGAATAAACAAGAAATTTCAAATAGAAAGTAATATTGCTTTTATAATCTGTGAAAATGAAAAGTGTAGGCTATTGGCAAAATGTTAATTATGAGCCTTTAATTAATGAGTAGTATGGGAGGGTGGGTTTTCTCATCTTTTTATTGTTTATTAAAACAAAAAAAGTGATTCTCTCTGGACCATCGGACTAGGTTATGCATTACTGAGCCCCATGTGCGTCCCTCTGATCATGGAGTGGATGCTCTGATCTCCACATGACTTCGCCTACCAGATGTCATGCCATTGGACATGGGTAACATTCATGACATTACAGTCCCAATCCCGTTACGCACAATGCAGCATAGCTGTAGGAAGAGCTAAACACATACTTCCAATCTTGTTCTTGCTGCTCTGACATGAAAATGCATGACCTGCTGTCAGTCTTGAGTGGCTGTGCCAGCTTAAAGAAAAAGCAAGTCTTTGGTTAGTTTTCTGTCATTTTCAATGACCCTGAATGTGGGACAGAAATTCATTTAAATGCTGTCATCGGAGAGCAACATGTATGTTAAATATGGGAGCCAGTGTTACATGCACTGCAACAGGTATATTCAGTTTTGTATCCAGGAAAACTGATCCACCACCCTATTAATTTAACCAATATTGTACATGTAATAGCAAAAAGATCAATGCTTAAATGTATGAGGGGGTTTGTGACACGCATTTCTGCATTGGCATAATTACAATCCTCTTTCACGTGACACCTTCTGCATTGCATTTTCAAGTGCATGGTAAGAATTTACTTTAAACCCTCTTACCCAGTTGATTTCAGGATTTTATGCACAAGAAAATATATGCCAGCACCAAAAGCTTTTTTTTCACCATGTCTCAGAGTACCTAGATGAGGTATATGCTGTTGTGTGTCAGGGAATGAATATTGTGATCTGCATGGTACCGGTATGAGTCAGAAGTTCTGGTGTATAGGGGCAATATGTATATTAGTATATGGGGAGAATCCTGCTACTACAGTAAACTCCGGCTAAGACAGCACTCTCGGGACCAGAGAATTTGTGACGACTTACGCGAATGTCGGCTTCTGCTGCAAGTCGTCATTTTGCCGATTTACACAAATACACAAATTGAATCACGGAGTGAAAAAATAGATTGAATTAATGGCCTATGCGCCTCTGTATCTGGATCATGCAAACAAGATTCATGGCTGAAATTCAAAGGCTTTGATTAACCCTGGTTTATTTCTACATCCATGGTTGATTCCAGCAAATATGTCCTGCAAATATACAGGCTGTGGTTTTGATCACAGAAAGTCATGCATGTATGTGTACGTACGTACGAAGCAAGGACGGCGCGGCCGGCTAGCGTTAACAGTGGTACAATATACAGATTGCTTGCATATACTGTACGTCCATGTACATGTAGTGTACATTGTGCACATACGTACGTGTACAGTCACGAATTAAATGTGTGCATGGTACTGGTACAATAAGGGGACCCCCAAAATGAACAGAGCGCATGCGTGCAGTCGAGAGGGGGTACTGGTATTGATGTGCTATCAGGAAAACCCTTTTTTGATCGCGCACGTGTAAGCAAACGATGCACACAATGTACAGACTGTGCATGAAACAGTGTACACGTGCACGTGCTGGCCGATGCATCAATCACGGGCCGTGCCATTGATAAACAGATGTATCAATCACGGGCTGTGTCATTGATAAAGCAGTGTGTGGGACTTTTCACTTGACACTTCTTACAAACCACAGAGCACGATGCTGACTTACGTGTATACAGAGGAATTTGTGTGGTTTTGAGGAACCGGGACTGAAAGTAACACGCCGACATAGGGGAATGGCGGCTTACAAAGGCCGACTTTAAAATGAAAATGTCAATGGAAATGCATTAGAGACAATCGGGACTTCGTCAGACGGCCGATTTAAGCGATAGGACGGTTTATAAGATGTCGGTTTAGCCGGAGTTTACTGTACATGTAGTTTGTCAGAAATGTTTTTCAGCCAGCTCTGCAATGTTTGCCATTTAAAGCTGTATCCACGTTACTTTTGTATATGAGGCTAACAGTTTTCATTCCCCAGACTGAATTCAGAATGTGCATGCCTTTCTGTTTTATGTTTTTCTTTTTAGCATAAAGTTGACCTCTAGCCACTGTGGCTCCATCATTGTTGGTTACAGTGTTTTACAAACTGTTGCATACAAAATATTGAATGAACAGTAAGACCATACATGTACATGTAGGTTTTGAAGTGTTTCTACGTACATGTAGCTGGGCTACCTTTGATGTATGTCCATTGATATTTTCAATAGATTTTACTTAATCTTTGACTGTTGAAAGTCATCAGTTGGCCTATCATTTAGTTTTAATGTATGACATTCCACTATTTGTTGACTACATTCATTTGACTGGACAATGCATGTAGTACTGGAAACTGCCAGAATTATTAATCCAAATATTTAGGCAGTGTCTCCCCCAATCATTAGGTTTAACACACCATAATAACACCTTCAGCCGTCTCCAGAAATCTCAGAGCATGTGTGGTTAACCCTTTCAAGAAGTTAATTGTGCCCTATTGACAACCATGAATCTAGTAATTCTGTTTACACTCTTACCCACTTGTAGTCTATTCACTTAAAGAGACTGGTACACTCTTTGCATGTTCAGAGAATTTATCATTCCTTTGCAATATTTAACAAATCTGAACCTGATGATTGTTAATTACACGTACCGATAGGCCTTTCTTACATGTGTACTATATGTACATGTATAAAACATGTACATGTGGAGATGTCTATGTTTGTACATGACACAAATAGTTTTTTTTTTATAAAACAGTGATTGTCTTACAGTTAATGGAAATTACAGTTTGATAAAAACATGAAAAAAATGGTTCTCTTGGATGTAATCTAATAACCATTTAATTGTATCATGGATTTTTTGGTTTATGATGAGTCTCTAAAAAACCCACCAAAACAGTGTCCTGTGGTTTTGATGACAGATGACAGGTCATTTAATTTCATAGTTGTTTGTTGTTCACCTCATTTTGATAGAGTTTTTTCTTGTTCTTTGATGAATTATCTGGAAACAATTCATCTTTTATTATCTGCAATGGCCTTACATAATCTTACTGATGTAAGATTTTGAATTATAAGGTTTATAATGTGAAATATTTGTAGGCCATTAACCAGCAATTATTTTCACCATGTCTGATATTTCTCCTCTCCTTTGGGTATTTGTGGCTCCTTGCATGATGGAAATCAACTTAATCTCCGATGTTGCCGTTACCATGTGCCGGATTATTCTTCATCTTCATGACTCCTGATCCTGTCCATTATTCAAATCCCATATTTAATACAAACATGGAATCCCTTGTGTTGATTTCGTCAATGATGTGTACTACATCACAATTAACAACTGTGCAATTGTGGCACAATTTACCATGTACATTAATACATGTATGTCACTGACTGTGGAATGGCATGTACCGCACTACAGCGGCCATCACGTTTTGACCAACCACCTCAAAATATGGGAGGGCGTGGTCAAGCAGGGCCAGGTGGAATGGGAGGCCCTCAACAGGGTGGTGGCTCTTATGGTGGGGGATCTACTGGAGGACCGCGCCCCTTAGAAGAGATACGAACCAGGCCTCCACCATCCATGGATCGCCGTGATATGGATCGTCGTGATCGTCATGAGGAATACATGGCCAAGCGTCCCCGTCGCTACTAGTCTTGTGCATTCTGGTTTGTTGTAAAGTATGTATTAGTGATACATGTGTTTGTTAGTGTCACGTTCAACCCATGATATTGATTGATTGGCATGAATGTAGCTGTTTTCTCTTGTTAAGTTAGCTTCATTAAAAAACATATTGAAGAAGGTGTTAGTTAACATGCAATTTAAGCATGTGTATACAATGACAAATCTTTAATCGCTTTGATCTCAAAACAGAGTTTATTGAAGAAAACAAACCCAATGATATGTAGCTGGATTTCTTGTTTACTACAATGTTTAATGTTTATGTTTTTATCAAGTATTAATCGTATAATCTTTGCTAGAGTCATTTTTTAGTTGGTACAAAAGTTGGAATGTGAGAAAAACAGGAAGAAGAAAATCTAGGTAATGTACATTGTGCGTTCGGATAAGAATGATTTGGAATGACACTTTCTGTATCTTTTTTTGGAAGTTCGCATGTAAAATGTTTTATTGACTTTAAATATGTGTAGCTTAGCATGATTTAAAACTTTTTAGAATTTCTAAGATTTATTTGCTATGTAGGTTAGATATTTTTAAAAACAAGTCCAAGGTGGATATTTAAAAGCAGCTTACATTGAAGTTCAGATAGAGAGTAGTCTTTAGATATTGATATTTGTTTTCTTAAACCAGTTGCTTTTAAGCTGATTATTTGAGATTGTAAGTCACTGTAGTGATTCTAGTGATGTACATACAAGTAGTTATTAGTGCCTCTTTTTCTTAAGATGTAATGTTATTAGACTAGAGATGTTTGCTGTTATTATACACATATTGCACATGTGTTAATGAAAATTGGTTATCAGTAGGAAGAATCATGTACGTTGCATTCGTCACGTTTGCCAGTTAGATTGCATAACTTGTAAGCAGTGTCATGGAGACCCTACAAAAATACAGTGATGTTGTTATTTCCACTGTTGCTAGAAATCAGGAAAGCAGAGACCACATTAAGATTGGATGGATCACTTGGTTTCTGGAGTCTCATAGTTCAAAGATTTTGACACAACTTAACCCTAAAGGGGCAGGGGAGGGGGGGGGGGGAATCCGCCCCCCCCATCAACTTTTTTCGCGATAGCTTAAAATAATTTTTTTCCCGCGACCTGAGCTGTTCTGACTTTTAAGCCTCGAGACTTGCGCATCTTTTGATGCTAAAAACATAAATATCGGACAATGGGTTGCCGCGCAGCGAAAAAGGTTCCGGCGCCACGCGCCATGAAAACTGAATTTCCTCATATATGTTGTGTACACAGAGCAGATTTACCATTCATGCATATGAATAATTAATTAGCCATAATTCCAAAACCCTTTGACCTACATGTATAGTCATGAAATTTCTTGGGTATATTCATGAATAGTTGTTCTATGCGTGTACCGAGTTTCATAATTTTTTGTCTCTCGATGGCCGAGATCCATCCCCCGGGTGAGAGATGATCGAAATAGCGCCGCCCTTTTAGGGTTAAGCCATATTTTGCACGTACTGTAATAAATAAATTCTCACACCCCAAATCATTACAGGCATTTTGAACCGACTTTTTTTAAATATGATTGTAATACCTTGGTGTTCGGCACGAATCATATTCCCCCTACCCCCCCCCCCCCCCCCAATCACTCAGCTGTCTTTAATCCAGTCGGATTGTGTCTTTTGAAGCCCCAATCTCTGGGAAAAAAAATCTGCATAATTTAAGCATCCTGTGATATCTCTGTTTCGTGCGCTGTTTAATTTCAGGAAACTGGACAATAATGCCATGTTGAGATTACTCGGAATTTTAATGGTAATTTACATTAATCTGGCTGAAATACTAGAAGTGAGTGCATTTTTAAGAGTTGCAGAGAGTATTAGGAGTGGGCTAAAACATTTGCAAATGACAAAATTGCAGTGCCCAACAACATGTACTGCAGAAGCTTCGTATACTAAGTTATACAGTAGATTCAGCTAAGGCCAGTGAGACTACATGGCAGCTACACGCATCATTTCTGCCATCTGAAATGAAATGAAGTGCGTGTACATAGGTAACTTGCTAACCCCAATCACTTTTCTACAAAATGTAAAGTACAAACCATTTTATCTCCACAAAGGAAACATGCACCACTTTCAAGAAGAAAATACTTTATCTTGATTGAATAAAATACCTCCATTTTAAGCACAAAACATGCTAAATATCTTGCGACGCAATGTAAAATGTTTTATTGACTTTAAATATGTGTAGCAGGATTCAATCACTTCCAAAAGAAAATCTAAGTGAAGCCATTGACTGTCCAGCCCATCGAGCCTGGTTCATGTATTGGTTCAATTCAAGTCATTCTATTTGCCAAATATAGGACATCTATCCCCATATACCGGTAGGACTCATCTATTGTCAGATGAGTGCCTTTGTGCAAAATGAACTGACGACATCGGATCTTTTAAGGAATTGTTTATTCTTCTTTAATTTTTTTTAGTGAAAACTCTTTTTTGCATATTGACACACTTCAGGTCTAAAAATTCCCACTGGACCACTGGCCTGATCTCAGTGATGTAAGTGTTTGTTTACATGTAGTGCTTTCTATAGACCAGCAATCCGTAGTGATTTACATAACTGAAAACTGATAATTTTTAACAATATCCAACTTGCCCTGGCAAAACTTTAAAACTGCTAAAGGAAATTCATCATGGCATCACAGCTATTTCCCGACTGAACAGTTCTGCTGTTCTAGAAGAGTGTTTTAAGTCTGTTTTCACAATACTAGTACCCTTAATCAGAGGTAGGCGGCTGATGGCAATATGTTGTTTTTAGTTTGCTGTATCTCTGTAGGCCACACCTCCAAATCCCTGTAGTGCATGGATTATATGTGATGATCTGGTTCCCAGACACCAGTCAGCAAGTTTACAGCATACCACAGAACAGATGTATACAGGTGTTTCATGATCTGACTGCTTCAAGACTGAATGCTTTTGTTACCTCTAAATTCTTTGTTTCACTGCAGTTCCATAACAAGTGTAAAACTTTTGTTTATTGTGAGACCATACAAACATACTTGTAAAACTATTGTCAACTTGGCTGTGATGACAAGCGTTACTCTACATGGTTTTAATAGGCTTGACTGATTAGGAAAAGGAGAAGAGTAAGGCACTTCCAAATCAGCAATTTTTGCCTTAACTATAGGTAGTTCCAGCAGTGAATAAAGCCATTGAAATAAGAGCAACAGCTAGCTGTCAACACGGGACTGATAATGTTCGGAAATCAGGTCCAACAACACTGAGGTTGTAGTAATGTTTTGAAAAAACAACATATAACTGGAATTCAGACTAGCAATATAATGCCTCAAAATGTTGAAATCCACTGTTTGATAATTAGACAAAAATAACATTTTCAAGGCATAATTGTGTGCACTGTTATATTGTACCTATTAATATTTAAAGATCCTAGAGCAACACAAGCTCTTGTTGAAACAAGTTATGGGGAAATTGCATCTTTGCTCTGGAGGTTTTCTTTGTACATTTGCAGTGTATTCTTCAGACGTCACGCTACAGATGGTGGATCAGAGAATGGGAAATACTTACACTGACCCATCAAACCTTGCACAGGTCCAGTCCAAAATGAACGTGATGGTCACTCACTCTAACTAGTTGCTATCAGACCACTTTATCTATCCTACATATATCCTAGTAATGTCCTGCTTCAAGTTACTCTTATTCCATAGAGTGCTTTATTTGACAGTTGTTTAGTAAACAAGGAATGTTTAGCACATGCTTGTATTCAAGGCCAGAAGATTCTGTAGGAATGCTCATGTTTTCATACATACATGTTCAAGCCATTGGGAGTCAATTAATTCAACAATACCTTTCTACTTTAAGTCTTACCTTCAAAGTTTTTCTTGCCACCCAACCGAATGTAAAAATCCAACAGATTTAACTGATTCGATAAAGTACTATGGAACTTTGATTTTTCGGCATTTAGCTTGGTAAGCGTTCACTAATTTTGTTAAAAGAATTTTTGAGTAGTAGATAGTTGATCTTCTGTTTCAATTCATACAAATTGAGCATACATGTACATATGGGGCTACACTGCTGTGATTGTGTTTAGATTTTGTGATGTGAGGTCAATGCACAGAGTGTGCTTGCACAGACGGTGCTTTGCTGCTTGCACAGGGATCTCAGACCTCTACTTTTTGCATTGGAACAGTCTCACACAGTGTGGATGTTAATTACATTGTAGTTAATAATAAAAAAGCAAAACCAAGAAAAAGAATGTTGTAGTCTATGTTTTAGTTGGTTGTCTCATTTTTTCGTCATTGTTCTTAAGCATCAGATAAAAAGCATGTCATTTTTTCATTAGATGTCATACAATAAGATTATTTGCAAATGGCATTGGGGCATTTCTCTGATCTAGTTAAAATATAGTACTGTAATGTACATGTCACTTGTCCTGATGCTACAATGTCTTGTGTTTGTGATGAACCATGGAAAACAAAGAGAAGTCAATTCATTTCAGAAATAAATCTGTGCACTTTTAGGAGTTATAACAACTTGTACTTTTTGAGCTGGGATTTTACATTTTTGTTCTTAGTGGGTACATGGCAAGATACATGACAAAAATCTTCTTTGAATGAAAGGACGGTGCACTACCATCAATAAGTTTGTCTCACTAACTTTGTTCACTGCTTAGCATTGATCATAGCACAAACACATTTTTTTTGCAGAAATTGTTGTGAATCACATCTGAACCTTATTTAAATTCCTGTATCTGATTCCCTAGATCAGAAGTACCAAATTAAACACTTCCCTAATAGTACAGTATGCAAATGCAAGTGGGATAGCTCAATTTCTCCTTTTTGTGTTAAAAACGAAAACATTAATAGGTTTTTGTCTTGGTTTTTTTTCAAATTTTGTTTTTAAGGATGGAAGGCACCAATAGTTTTTCATGCACACATACATTTTTGGTAGCAAATGACTATAAAACGGCTCATTGAAGGCAATGATAAACGGCAAAATAGGTTTTTTTTACCTTAATTATTATAAGTCTCTTCATTTATGTTCACATATTGGTAAAAACATGATACGGCATCTTGACTCCCTGTTTTATTTTAAATTTTTGGCTGAACCATCAAAACTTGGCAGAATGAACTTCATGTACCCTCTTCCTCTTTGATGACTATTATGCAGAGCAACTCTACTTAAAATTGAAAATGGAGCCTAACGTTTTAAGTCCCTTGCGCAAAATATCAGTGCAGGTCCAAATAACCTGTTATTTCACAGAAATTATTATTGGACAATTTGTAAATTACCTTGGATCTTGGTCGAGAGCCAATTATATTAATTGTAGAAAAGTTTGAAGTGAAAAATGTTATAGCACTTGTTCCAAGTGTTGTAGTCAAGATGTTATTAACTAGATGTTATTGACCATTTTTGATTTGTTTAGTTTTTTGACAGCATGAATGACAAAGCAATGCACTCCTTTTTTCTGTAGGTACAGAGAAAAGTTGGGTTGAAAAAGGTTGATATTACATACACATTGGGTCTTCCAGATACAATACCTAAGGCCCCTGTGTGCGCATCGCCGTAGCCATGCACATTGGCAAAATTAAAATGTAAGTTGATGTCTCAAAACCTCCAAAATCACTGGTTTGACTTGTATCCTGCTGCTGCACAATTTTAATGTTTTGTAGATGGGTTACAATCGGGTATAAGCTTCATGCGGCCTCTCTGGGCTCCCATATATTTTGCACCAAATCTAGTCGGGCGCCATTTGCAGACGGTGTTGTAATTTTGTAATTGTGCGTCTGGAAGCCAAACTGAGGGAGCGATGGTCGTGTATCTAGAACCTGTAAACGCTTTTTAGACAGCTCAATATGTAAGGGAGCAGACTAAGGACCAGCCTGGCAGCACACGCATGATGTCGATGTCGCTGTATTAGGTCGTGGGGCCAAAGCCTGTAACGTGCAGTTTCGTCTTAATTTTTAGTGGCAACATAATTTCTCGGTATAAGTAGTTCGGAACATGTTAATTAATATTTTACAATGTGCACACCACATCGTTTGCAAAAATTAGAAATAAAGGGGACTGCATATCCCCAATGTAACTATACAACATGAGGGCGAGCGCGATGCATCACTGCCATTGCGTATCAGCCTCGCCTCCATGGGCGCATGCGCGTTCCTCTATTAACCCCTGGCCGTGGGAATACGTAAACGGCGACGCTGACTGGCTATTCAGAGCGTACTACATGCCAAGTAATGTACACCTTTTTTTCAAGACTGCGCGGTGTCTTTTCGATTTGGATTCCGGAAGCCCAGTTGTACTCCCCCCAAAACATGTATTCTGGGTAAAGAAATGAAAAAAAAAAAAAGTGTCACTTATTTACTTGAAACTAAATGACTTGTGATGTACTTGTGATTGATTTGCGTTGTAAAGGGATGACAGAGGTATGTACATTTAATATAAATCCTTACAACGCCACGTCAAAATCTCATCATGCTCATGTTTGAAAGGATAGATTCTCCCCCCCCCAAAAAAAACCATTAAGCACCGTGTCGCACGTTCAATAATGACTTATATTATTCATGCCCACTTCCTTTTTATCTGTTGTGTCAAAATTGAAAGCATTTGAACTTAAAACAGAGAATTTAAAAATGGGCAAAATAATGAGAAAAAAAAGTTGTCATAACGTTAATGTGCAATTTGGGCCAATGTGAACAGCCAGATTCAGATTCAGCACTTTCGAATTAGTAAGTTGAACTTATTGCAAGCTGACACCAAAAAGTTAAGACGAACCTCAACTTCTAGACCTGAAACAGATTTTGGCATATGACCTATATTATATGGCCTGACATTTCCATTTGCCCTGATTTTCTCTTGACTATCCAAATTTCCCGTAGAACATTCGTGTCGGGTCGAGATCGTAAGTGGGTGCAGAATTCTCAAGCCTTATGGCCTTACTGAGGTAACCTCAAGCTCCACTCTGAAGGATATTTTTGAGAGTTTTAAGGGGATCCAAGCATCATCTGCAATATCAGCCGACATTTGAAGGGAAAAAATAGCCCCCCCCCCCTGTCGCCACACCACTTTTGGGGCAAGCTCCATACCAGAAACCAGAGATTTTTTCTTTTTGGCCTGAGGCAAGAATATTGGCTTGGACTTTGAACTGTTAAACCAATTTCAAATTAGAAAATATAAACCGCTGCAAATTATTTACCAGTTGGAGAGACATTAATGTATTAATTAAGCAAGTGATAGGGGCCTGACATCTTCCAACAAACGAAGCAGAACTAATCTTCACAGCAAAACGATTTTGGATGCAGGCGCGGTTCTGGGGGGGTGGGGCCTGGGGAGGGCTGTATCCCCCCTATTTTTCTAGCCCCCCTCCCAATTTCCATTAAGAAAAATGGCAGTAGCCAATTTCATAAGTTGACGGCACATCCGCATTGTCTCACCCCCCCCCCCCCCCCGCCCTCCAAAAAAGGTGTGAGAAGGGGCCATTTGTACACTATTAGGTTATATAGTACCCATGATTGTAGGATTTTATCAGCGTTCCCGATTGAAAATTTGGTACAAGCCCCCCCCCCCCCCCCCCCATTTATTTTCAGAGGCCTAAGTGTCCGGAGAAAAAAAAAAGGTCTACATTTCAGCATGCCTCCCTGCAAAAATGTCTGCATTCACCCCTGCTAGCGCCCCCCGCCCAAAAAAAATATAGGCTCTAGAACCGCGCCTGGATGCATGGAAAAGGAGGGAAAACTGGGCATCTCAGGCAGGGAAGGGTGCAAAATACTTGGTTCTGAGGGGGAAAAAGTGTGAAGGAGAGTGTAAAGCAAGAAGGGAGTAAGGCAGGGTAGAAACAAGTACAGATTGTGAAAGTGAGAAAAGATCAAAGGAAGAAAGAATTCCATCGGAGGTAGCTAGAAGATGAACGATGGCATGTTTTGACGGTCGTGACAAAAACTGGTTGTGCTGTTTCTCCTTGGTTGTTTTGGGGATTTGAGTTCTACATCATCATGTGTAATTTTTGCCAAAATATAGTTCACAAGGATATCAGCAACAACAAACCAAGAAACAACCGCGTCAAGTCTTGGTTGTGACCACCAAAACTTACCCAGGCTTTTTCAGTCATGGAGCATGATTCCGCACGAGATTGATGCGAGGTGCATGTGCAATGAAAGTGCAATTAAAGGGAAGCGACTCTCCTGAATCATACAATGCTGAGCCTTCTTGGATTCGGGGGGAAATTGAAAAAAATTCAAAAGAAAGTGTAATGTGAAAGCCATGATTTCTTGTGGGAAATACCCTTGTCCGATATTTAGCAGTACACTACACATGTTTATAAAAAAGCTCTTGTACACCTGTGTGGTTGACATGTCAGTCCATACATGTTTGGTTCCACACCTGGTTCCACACAGTATATTGACACGTGCTTTTTCCCATGCACTGCGTGCATCGAGCTAAGGTCCTTTTAAAAGAATCTGAGTGGCCATCTAAAATGATGTTCGGAATATTTTCTATTCATTTTGGGTACGGTTGGTTAAATTCAGTTCCTTGCTCTATGGTTGATAACGTCGGCACCCATAACTCCATATTAGGGCCTCCTCATTGTGGTAAGTGTCTGGTCTAAAGGCCTGATTGTAAGTTGACGCTCCAGCCAGGATCATGTACAAGTCAAGTGTATCTTATTAACATTTGGTATGCCGGTGTAAAGCGTGAAATTAGGACTCTATACGGACCCATTGGTACAAGGATTGCGCATGCATGCGATGATTATAAGAATGACCGATTACGTGATCGATTGTCGATATTCACATGACACTGGCGAAGCGAGGCGCTGCTGCTGCGCACGCGCAGGCACTGAAGGAGTCGCTGGTGGCCGGCATACATTTAAATGAGCCTATTGAATCTCACTCATTGATACAGGATACCAACTGATTGTCGTGCCACCTGCCATGACTGGCGCTGGCATCGGTCGATGATCGGCATTAATTTTAGTAGGCCTTGAGTCAGTGACATTACAAATTCAAACAACAATACAATACCACAAAAACTAAGCTTTTCACTTTTAATAATCTATCACAATGATATATTTTTACAAATAAATGGACTGATAATTACACCATGGCATTTAAGTGTTGTAGAGTTTGCCGTGAAGCATTTGTGGTTTATGCCGGGTCATCTACTCAGCATGTGGTGGTTATTTGGTGTTTTTTGTTGTTGATGATGATGTAATACCTCAGGTCCAAAAAAAATTATAGTTCTGCTTCCGGTTTCCCTACCTACCCT